ATTGAACTTAACTTCCTTTCTTAAACGTGATAACGTAAATGGATTTTCTTTAAACTTGATAATATAAACAATTTTTCTTTAAATGCATGATAATGTAAGTGACACCAACAAAACTATTATATTTGTAAAAAGGTCCCTAACACAAAAACTATTTTAACATAAACTCAAATATTTTATAAATAATTTCAATAAAAGATTTATTTGTCAAATTTATGATTTTATAAATATATTAATGTAATTATACTTTGAGTTGGGTATTACAGGTGTGACCAGGTGACAATTTGTGTTATTTCTCCTACATCTTTTCTTTTTTTTTTATTTTTTACCAATCCTTCATAAAAATGACACTATATAAACCTTCTCGTTTTCTTTTTCCTTTTTCTCTCTTTATCATCACCTTCCCTCTCCCTCTCCCTCTCCCGGTCTAGGATCTACTTAGAATCCGACCTACTACCATCGTCGATCATTGATGCCATCCTTCGCAGGTCAAACCTAAAACATAATCTTATTATTTGTTTCCTTACACCTCCATTTACAGTGATAGAGCCAAGATTTCATGTTTGGAGAGGCAAAGGCTTAGAAATGTCAACATTTTATGAAACACTCCTTTTCTTAAAATAAGATTCAATTCTCTTATTAATCATGACAATCTATTTTCATAATTTATAACTCTTTAAAATTTTTCAAAAGAATCAATCTTAACAATTTACTTAAAATAATTAACTACTATAATATTAAATAATTTAATAATGACAATAATCCAATTCCTAGATAAACTTTAACAACAAACAAAAATTAACAAAAATAATAACAAAAATCTTAATGGGAAGTAATACCCTAAAAAATATTAAATGCTATCAATAAACAATTCAATGAAAAGAAATTCCTTAAAATTAATCATAAAAATTAAATACAATATCAATAAACAATTCAATGAAATTTAAGTTATTGAATAAAAGTTTTATAGGTAGAGAATACTAAAGTAAAAAAGTGTAAGAGAAAAATAACTTTTTGTTTCTATTTGGTAAGAAAAAAAGAAAACAAGAGGCAATGATTGTAAGGTTTTGGAAAGTGAGATTTTGGTATAATTTTATTACAAAATAGGGTTGAGGTTTGTCAAATTTTGGGGTTTGGGTTCAGGCATTCTGTCATCATGTGATCAAGTCGTCAAAACACATCATACGTGGATAAAAAATAGAAGATGTTATTAAATTTTAAAATAATTAATAATTAATTTTCTGTTAAAGCTAGGAATTTATTTATTAATTAACAAATTAAAATTCAATCAGTAATTCTAACTAAAATGAGAAATCCTCATTCTACAGCGATTATCCCTCATTATATTTTCAGAGAAGGCAACTCGTTCCCGAACTCATTGGCTAGATATGGAATTGAAAAATCAAACTTCTTTTCTGCACGGAGGTGATATCATTTAAAGGTAACCCCAGCCTCCTTGGAAAAAGGTGTTCTTTTGCTCTTCACCAGTGTTTAATTCTCAAGACTAGTCCTAATCCATTCCCATGTGCATTTTTTCCTTGTAATTTACTCCTGCTTTTGTGGCTGGCAGCTGATGTACGACTTGTCTAGGCCTAGCTTTAACCTAGTCAACTAGTCAACAATGGGATATGGGACCTGCATGACAAAGAAGTCTCCCTAACCCTTAGCCTACGGTGGTGCTAAATTCAACGGGACATCACCTCATTGAATATTAGACCCTTCATGTTTTGTTCTTCGCGGCTAGACTTGATCAGTGCCATTAAAGGTTACGCTCTAAACATCGATGTGAATAATTATAGTTGCCTTCTCATTAATCAACGTTAGGGACCGTTAGATTAATATTAATTGAAAGTTATGTGATGTAGAAACTATTAATTGAATATTGTGTTCCAGCAATTTGCACAGACGATTTCCTTGCACGACTTTAGTTGACTTGGCAGCTTATAAATATTAATGTCTGCTTTATTCCACCATATATTTTATATACGATTGTTGATCTTCTTCTGAATCAGAAAAATGAAGTGTTTACGTAGTGTCAATCAATTTCTCTGCCTTCTTTTGCTTTGCTTGAATTTTCAAGCGACTCTTTCATCCTTTATATCTTCTTCTTTAGCAACACAAGTGTGTTCTCACAATGAGAGTACTGCCTTGATTCAATTCAAGAAGTCATTTTCCTTGGACGAAGATGCTTCTAAGGAATGTGGCCATAATGGCATTCGATCTTATCCTAAAACGGATTCATGTAAGGAAGGTACAGACTGCTGCTCATGGGATGGTATCAGTTGTGACAGTGAAACAGGTCAAGTGATCGGCCTTGACCTCAGTTATAAGAGTTAAAAGTATTTAAAATTTCAATTGAATCATGTAGTTTTAAAATTATACATTTAATTGGTCATTTTCAAACAAATTAGAATTAATAGTAAAATTCCGATTTTATCTCATTTATTGATTAATTAGGAAACTTTCTCTAACGGCTTCTTTTAGGGCTTGGATAACGTGGGGTGCTAGGGCTTTAACCTCTTCATGGGTCTTGCCTTCAAATAAGCCATAAGTATAATCATTCGTTCCAATTTCTCCAATTATGAAAAGAACTGTTTTATGTTTCTTGAAGCAATCTATCAAACACCAAACAAAATAAAGCCATTAATATTGCTATGTGTGTGCATTAGATGTTAAAAATTATTCTTTATGATGTTAATTATTAACTTTAAGTGGATGATAGGATGACAAATAAAATATTTAAATGTATCTTAATATAGGATATGATCCAATCTCTATGTTTTCTTTTACACTCCTAAAGGGATATCTTTTAAAATTTTGTATTTAGTTTTTCATTTGTATAGAGAGAGGTAATATTAGAATTTAATTAATCATTCACTTTAAGAGGAGAATATATAAGATGACAAATAAAGGATGACTCATATTTCTAAAAAATATAAAATACTTCAATCTTGTTGAAAATGGAAGGATTATTTTAATTCTATGGTTTATATTGGATTAGAGGTTAGACATCCTTACTAAATTTATGCCTATTTAATTACCTCTGCAAAGTTTCATAATTCTTTTAAAATTTTCTATTTAGTATTCAATGCATAGATATGATCAACTTTAATCAATGAAAAGAAGAAAACCATTCTCTAACTATACCAAACAAGATATATAAGATGAGAATTATCTTACTTTATATATTATTAATTTTATGCACATTAAATTCATGGTGAAATAAAATCATCTAATTTACCCACTTTCTTCTCTTATTTTATTTTATTTCTATATAAATGCATTCATATTATTCCTTGTAACTAATCAATGAACTAATGTCCATATAATTGTTACGAATCGAAAATATATTTAATTCTTGGGATATTCTTAGAAGAGGTAGGTAATCACCTTTGTGATCTCGAAATGTCTCATTGAAATGATTAGACATCTAATCAAGTTGTCAAATAAGTATTTATTTATTTTATTATATTTAATTAAATCTTTATATTTTTATTTTAAATGAAAGAAGTGTTTATAACTAATCATCGACTTAGTCAAAATATCATTTATCATTTTACACTACATAACGTTGATGTAACATACTGATATGTTACAATAAATAATGACATGATTTGCTGATTTGATATGATTGGCATGGTTATATGACAAATTTTACCTTCCACATCAACATCATGTAAGTATAAAATGACAAGTGATTATTTAAACTAATGACAATTAGTCAACCATTAAGAAAGAATTATTTGATCCAAAATAAAAGTAAAAGAATTTGATTGAACGTAATAGAAGAATAAAAAATTGTTTGAATTTTCTTAACTATTTCATGAGTTTAATTTTAAAGCATTATACCAAAATTAATCTACCACTTATAATATCATGATTTATCCCTAAATAAAATAATATTCTATTATGCACAATTAAATGTACTCAAATATCTAATACAAAATTGAAATGATCTTTCTTTTTATTTGGTAATGGCTTCTTATAGTTGTTTTAGAAAATGTTTATAACTAAATATCTTCTATTAAGCGGTTAAAAATTAGTACATTAATATACCAAAACTAAAAAAACTACATTTAACTTATTAACTCATTTTGCATAATGACTCATTTTTATTTATTTTCTTCTTAATATTGACATCCTCATTAAAGTAAATTGATTATTTGGTTATTAAATTAAATATTGACTATTTTATCTATTTTTTCTTATTAACCTTGAATTAATAAAATTAAATTTAAAATTAGTATAAACGAATGTAGAGTCCTACATAAACTGATGTAATAAACGCAAGTTAGCTCACAAGAATCCATGACTTTGCCATCAAGGCGGTGAAGGAGGATTGAAACAACTTCACCAACTCAACTACAAAAACAGAAAAGGCCAGCTCTTTTAATATTCACAAGGACCATTCTATTGCTCTTTCTTGCTGCTTTCTTTCTCCTGGTTGGTTTTCCAATGCCAAGAATGGAATGGACTCAGCGATTACAAAGCAATTGTAATCTATCTTCAGGAAATTGGCCCCAGAGCAATCTATCTTCCTTCAAAGGATGTTTGGCTCTCAAGTGTCTACATCTTAATCAAATAGAACAAGTATGGTTTGATAAAAGTCATTGCATTGGTTGAACTCTTTTTTCTTTTTTTTTATTTAAAAATTTATTTAAATATATAAAAGTTTTATTAATTAATGTCAAATTTTTAATTATTTATATCGGCAAGGATACACGATCAAGACAACTTCACCAACTCAAACTGTAAAAACACAAAAAGCCAGTCCTTGAAGGACTATTCTATCACTCTTATTCCTCTTTCTTAAACAGAAAAAGCCATCCTTGAAGGACTTTTCTATCTCTCGCGATTGCCTGGTTTTCCGATGGGGAGAATGGAAGGGACTCGGAGT